AGAGAGAAATATCTGTGCAAGAAGAAAATGCAAAATACAGACAACAGTGAAAATAAAAACGTCACATTCCATTCCTGGTATAGTTTAGATATTTGTCCCCTCCAAATCTTATGTTGAAATTTGCTCTCCAACATTGAGGTGGGCCCAGTGGGAGGTATTTGGGTCACTTCCCACCGTCCAACTCATGGGGATGGATCCCTCATGAAAGGCTTGATGGCTTCCCCATGGTAGTGAGTGAGTTCACCCTGGCTCCCCTTCCCTTTCCACCAGGATTGGAAGCTTCCTGAGATCCTCATCAGAAGCAGATGCTGACGCCATGCCTCTTGTACAGCCTGCAGAACCATGAGCCACATAAACCTCTTTTCTTTATAAGTCACCCAATCTCAGGTATTCCTTTATAGCAATGCAAAAACAGACAAATACAGTTCCTATAAATCACACATAACACCTCCATATCTATCTTTCCAGATCTTTTGTAGGCATACCAAACAAAATGATCATAATGAGGCTACTCTTTTGTAATTTGCTTTTTTCAATCATAGTCTCCACCCTTCCGTTTTAGGAAGTTTGCATCTTAACTGATACCAAAACCATACTCAAATTTTTCCTGTTTTTTCAAAAGTGTCCCTTACCAGGTGTTCATGTCCAAAATAGTATCCCATTTAGAGCCACACATTTGGCTGTTAACTTTTTAAATCAAGTGCAGAGGTTTGCAAACGTTTTCTTTAAAGAGCCATATAGTAAATATTTTAGACTTTGAGGGCCATGTGATCTCTATTGCAGCTATTCAACTCTGCCCTTGTGTGTCCTGTGATGTCATAATAAATACATATTTGTTCTTTGCTCCCATTTTTTTGCGCACAGCTCCTAACACTCTTGAATCTCTTAAGTGCTAAGTGTCTTTTTGCATGCTACTAAGATGACTGATGGCTGGGAATTCCTAGATAACCTCAGGATGGGGTTTGCCTGGAAAAACCAATCATGTTATTAGAGATGGACGTCTCAGTCCCTCCCACCCACTCCCAGCTCTGGGGAAGGGGAGAGGAACTGAAGGTTGAGTTGTTCACTAATGGCCAATGATTTAATCAGTCATACTAACATGTTGAAGCCTCTATAAAAACCCATCCATGTCTCTATGCATCTCTTCCACTTGGCTGTCTTTGAGTTGCATCTTTTTATAGTGAATGGGTGATAGTAAGTAAAGTGCTTTCCTGAGTTCCGTGATCTGCTCTAGCAAATGATGAAACCTGAAAAGGGGATGTGGGAACCTCTGATTGTAGCAAATTAGACAAGTTGTGGGTAACCTGGGAACCTACTGCTTGCAACTGGTATCTGAAATGAGGAGAGTCTTGTGGCGCTGAGCCCTTGACCTCTCCAGTCTGATATTATCTCCAGATAGATAGTGTGAGAATTGACTTAAATTGTAGGACATCCAGCTGGAGTTAGAGAATTGGTTATTGGGAGGGGAAACCCCATACACACCTGATATCAAAAGTGAATGGGTGGGCAAGGTGCCTCAGGCCTGTCATTCCAGCACTGGGAGGCCAAGGCGGGAGCACCTTTTGAACCCAAGATCAGGCTGGGCAACAAAGTGATACCCCATCTCTATTTAAAAAAAAAAAAAATGAAGTATTTAGAGTATTGTGTGAGAATACAGTAGGAGAAAGCAATTTGCGTTTTCTCCAGTCTCACACCTTGTCATTCAAA